TCTCCCCCACCAGCCTCATGCTCACCCCTCCCCTGCTCTCCTGTTTCCCCACTGGGCAGCCCCGTGAGCCTTCATTTAGAGCCGTTAAGGCAGAGAACCAGTTAAGGCAGGGACATCTCAGCTCTGCTCAAAGCCCCCACGGTCCCCTCCCCTCAGCGGGAACCGCCAGGATCTGTGCCTTTCCTGTCCAGCGTGAGCTGTGACCCAAAGTAGGGCTGCTCCCCACTCATCCATCCAGTGTCTACCTCCCGCCCCACCCCCACCCCCACGTCACCTTCTCTGGGAGTCCCTGCATAGGAAGGTGTCCGACTCCACGCTCTCCCCTGCCAGTACTCCCTGTCACCTGGACGGTCTGACCCCTGCCCCTGCATGCGGGCTCCCTGCTCCCTGCCTCTCCGCCCGCCCGGGCAAGGTCAGCCTGCAGGAGGTCAGAGCTCAGTGGTGGTGGTGAAGCAATGAGCCAAGTGCAGTAAGAGCAAGTCTGGAGGGAGCCCGCAGCCCAGGCATGTGCCCTGACCAGGAATCGAACTGTGACCTCCTGGTTCTTAGGTCGACGCTCAACCACTGAGCCGCGCCAGCCGGGCCCAAGAGTCACCATTACTGGGGAGCCGGCACTGGACGTGTCAAAGGTGCTGATTGAAAGAGGACTTCAGCAGAAGGTGAGTAAAGGGGTGGGGGGCCTGTATCGGATGAGTGGAGGGTAGGAGGGCAGGGAGGCCCTGGCAAGGATGGAGGAAGCAGACCCTGGGAGCCTCAATGCCCCGGAGACTGTCTGGATGGGGTGGGAGACATGCAGGCCCGGCACCAGGGCCCAACGCGTGGTCAGGGAAAGAATGAGTGGATATTCCTACAAAGAGCAGGTGAGAAGGCACCGCAGCCCAGGGACCCAGCCAACGCGGCCTCCAGGGAATGGAGCGAGGGCAGCGGAGATGCGGAAACAGAGGTGGCTGAATACTCCTGAGGGTCCCCGGCCCTGCTGCCTGGCCAGGCCACCCAGGGCCCTGTCAGAACCCCCTCGGCTGGCTTGGGGTTCCTCCAGGGCAGTAGCTCAGGATCTCAGCTTGCAGGTGACCTCCCTGACATGGGGGCTGGTCTGGCAGATGCTGGGGGACTGCCCATCCAGACTGCCCTCTGGTCATCCAGAAAGAAGTGGACATTGCCAGGCCAGCCTCTAGCCTCTTCCCACACTTCCCCGGCCGCTGCTGGTATCTGGGCTGGGCACTGCCACCTGCAGGACTGCAGACCGGATGCTGCCACCTGGAGCTGCAGCTGCGGGTTTCCTGAGATGCAGGCTGTGGCCTGTCCGCTCCATTAGACACAACACGCAAGAATGTGCAGTAGCTGGAAGGGCATCTCAAAGGCCAAGACCTTTGGAGCATTATTTATTGAGCTGAGGGGTTTGACACGGAAGGCCCAGGGCAGGAGGGCGAGTCACGCAGGAGGAGGGGCTGCCAGAATCCCCAGACCCTGTGGATTCCCCAGATCCTCAGCCAGGCCAGTCAGGTGAGGGAAGTCAGTGTTTGCAGTCGCATCAAAGATGGCACCATGGTGTTCACTCACTCGTGAGGGTTTGCAGAGCCCTCTGCTGCCAGCCTCTGGCCTCTGACCTGGCCCTGGGGAGGCGTCAGGAGCGAGGCAGACACGGTCCCCACCACACCAGCACTCATTCCACAGGGAGCGAAATATGAGTGGCACTTCGTAAGGAGGTGATGCCAGTCGTGTGTTCAAGGTGGCAGGTGCTGTAGAAAAGAGAATTGCAGATAGGGGATCAGAGTGTGAGGGACCCATTAGGTCAGGATGGGCCCTGTCCAGAGGGTAACAGCTGAGCAGAAGGGAGCCAAGTAGGCACCTAGAGGGAGAGCATCCCAGCAGAGGTACTGCTGGGCGAGGGCGGGAGGAAGGCCATTGAAGGAGCATCGAGGGAGGCAGGCTGGGTGAGCAGAGAGGGAGGGGGAGTGGGAGGGGGAGGTGGGTCAGCTATGCAGGTGGGACATAAATGAGGACAGAGAGGGCAGGACCCCAGGGAGCTCGGGGGAAAGTCCAGGTGTGCTGGAGGGTTCCAGGTGTTCCCGAGTCACCATTCACTGGGGACCCGGCACTGGTGCTGGTTCAAAGGGGGCTTTAGCAGAAGGTGAGTGAGGACGGGCCTGTAGAAGGAGGCGGGGCAGGCAGGTGCCCAGCTGAGTCTTGGAGGGCAGAGCCTTGCTGGAAAGAGGAGCAAGTGCTGCCTGGTCCAGAGGCCGCGTTCTGATGGCTCCTGGGATGCACGGTGATCAGCCAGGCACCACAGGGCTCAGCCTAAAATTGGGGGCCGGTGCTTTTCATAGTGACAAAGCGGGGGACAACTCTTCCTTGTCACCGACTGTGTCCTGGGGACTTCCTAGCGATTCCTGCCTCAGTGAGTCCTTGTGAAAACACTTGGGAGGCACCTGGGGAGGTGGTTGACTCTCCCTTTGTAGAGGGTAAGGTCTTGTCTGGCCAAGTCATACGCCTGGGCAGCGAGCACAGCCTGCTGCCCCTCGGCCACCGAAGGACCCTGCTGGGTGACATGGGACGGCTGGTGTGGAGCTGCTTACACACCGTAAGGGTTGAACATAGCCCGCTCGGCCACTCATTTACTCGCTCCTCACCCAGTGCCATCAGGGCGCCCTCGGGTTCCAGGTCCAATGCCAGGGGCCAGGGGTCCAACTATAAACCCCCTCGGGGAAGACGATTAAAATCTGCTCCCGGTTTCACTGCTCATTCTCCTGATTCCTGGTGAAAAGAACCGAAAGGATGGGGCGGCTGGGTACAGGTGTGTGTCCTCCTGGGGACACATCTAGATGGAGCTGGGTCCACCTAGGTGCCTGGACCGCTGGGTGAGAAGGAGGCCTAGCCCGTTAGTCTCAGGAAACGCCTCGTTGAGCTCACCCATTGTCTCCGCTTTGGATGACTTGGAACAGCGTTATTTGATTTTTTTTTTTTTAACCGCTAAAATGCTTGTATTATTTGGGCCCAACCCAGGTGTTCCGGTAAAAGCCTCTAAAAATAAGCCAAATCACTGGCTCCCACGGCCCCGCCTCTCAACGCCGTGACTCAGCCAGGACCAGGCGCTTTATCATATAAGGATGTGGAAGGCCAGCCCGCAGCTCTGCTCCCCACATCTGTCCCAAGTCCCCCCAAAGCCAAGAGGTTGGTTACGTCGTGTGAATCTCAAGAGAACATCATGGGAGACAGGAGAGAGTCTGGACCCCGGGATGAGGCGGGCTGATGGCAGGGGGCCTCTGCAGCCTCGGCCCGTTGCAGGCCGGTGGCAGGGCAGACCGGGGGTTCCGTGGCACCGTGCTGCTGGACAGAGCCTTATAAGGAGCTCCCTGCGCCTCTGCACCAGCTCCCAGAATAGCCTCCCCGCTTGGCCTGAGCAGGGCGCCAGGGCACCCGGGCAGCCAGGGCACCAGGGCAGCCAGGCCAGAGGCTGGCCAGGCCCACTGGGACCGGCTTCCTTCCTCCCGGCGCCTCCAGGAAAGGGGAGAAGGGGAGGCATTGGCCTCTCGCAGGTGCAGCCCAAGACTATTGTCTTTTCATGGCTTCATAGCTCATTTGTTTGTTTGTTTGTTTTTTAAAATATATATTTTTATTGATTTCAGAGAGGAAGGGAGAGGAAGAGAGAGCTAGAAACATCTATGACGAGAGTCACTGATCAGCTGCCTCCTGCACGCCGCCTACTGGGGATTGGGCCTGCTTCCTGGGCATGCGCCTCATCTGGATGGAATCATGACCTCCTTCATAGGTCGATGCTCAACCACTGAGTCACGGCGGCCAGGCATCGCTCATTTCTTTTTATCAGTAAATAATATTTCATTGTCTAGACCAGTGGTTCTCAACCTTGGCTGCACATTAGAATCACCTGGGAATCATTTTAAAATCCTGATTTCTGGGCCCCATCCTCCGGAAATTCTGTTTCTTTGTTATGGGGTGGGGCCACAACATTAGTAACAAAGAAACAATTTCCAGAGGATGAGACCCAGAAATCAGGATTTTAAAAAGATTCCCAGGTGATTCTAATGTGCAGCCAAGGTTGAGAACCACTGGTCTAGACGGACCAGTTTATTTACTCACTCACCTGCTGAAGGACATCGTGGTTGCTTCCAAGTTGGACAATTGTGAATAAAGCTGCTGGGTCCATCCATGTGCAGGCGCTTGAGTGGACATGCATTTTCAACTCCTTTGGGCAAATACCAAGGAGTGTGATTGCTGGATAAGACAGATGGGGCAAATGTGGGTTTACAGTTGTTCGTATGGAAAACAATACAATAATTACTACCCAATAATACAAGGATAAACTCCATGTTTTTCGTCCTCACCACTGTAAGCCTGCTTTTGCCGTACCCTGTATGGTAAGAGTATTTTCATTTTGTAAGAAGCCACTGAACTGTGTCCCACGGGGGCTGCACCGTGAGCACGCCACCAGCAGCGCGAGCTCCTGTTGCTCCCGTCCTCGCCAGCACGCGGTGGTGTCCGTGTTCTGGATTGTGGCCATTCTGATAGGTGTGCGGTGGCTTCTCATTGTTGTTTTTATTTGCATTTCTCTGGCGCATTTTTTTAATGTGCTTATTTGTCATCAGTATATCTTCTTTGGTGAGGTGTCTGATAAGGTCTTCGGTCCATGTTTTAAATTGTCCATTTTCTCATTGTTGAGTTTTAAGCGTTCTCATATATTTTGGACAACAGTCCTTTATCAGACACACGTCTTGCCCATCTTCTCTCCCGGTTGGCGGCTTGTCTTCTCATTCTCTTGACAGCGCCTTTTGCAGAGAAGAAGTCTTAAATGTCGATGAAATTGAACGAAGCCCCGTTTATCAGTTCCTTCAGGGAGCATCTCCATATCCAAGACCGCGTAGGTTTCCTCCCGTGTTATCTTCCTGAAGTTCCATCGTTTTGCCTTTTACGCTTATGTCTGTGATCCGTTTCGAGTTCATTTCTGTGACCGTTGTGAGGTCTGTGTCTACATTTTTTTTGTCCCACCGTGTGTGGAAGAGGCCGTCTTTGCTCCATCGAGTAGCCTTTGCTCCTTGGTCAGAGGTCAGCCACTGCCGTGTGTGGGCCTGTTCCTGGCTCTCTGTTCCGTTCTGCTGGCCTCCTTGTCTGTTCTGCCGCCAGCACCACGGGGCCTGGATCGCTGTGGCTTTAGGGTAAGTTGGCATCAGGCAGTGCCAGCCTCCAACGTCGTTCTCCGTCAGCACCATGGCGGCCCCTCGGTTATTTTCCAGAACTGCCCTGGCTCTTCTTCTACACTGACTGCTTCCTAGCCTCTGGTTCCATTAGAAATCGTTGGGGATTTGGCTAAGGCTGCTTCTGACATGTGTGTCAATGTGGGGGGAACAGACATCTTCACATTCGTGTGAAGGGAGGTGTATCTGAGACCCTGCTGTCCTGACCTCCCCCTCAATGAAGGAAACAGCACACGGAGGGGTCATGCAGAGCCGTCTTTGGGGGGCGGGGAGACGCGGGGCTCGTGCTCTGAGCTCACAGGGCCATTCCACATTTCCCCCCCTTTGGCTGTTCTGCCTCTGTCTCTGAGCCGACCCATGTTTCTATGGGCGACAGAGCAGCTGATCGACATCTATTTATTTTGGCCGAAAGGGTTTTTCGGGAAATGAGAAGTGGATGATGTTGTTTAGTCTTCCGCCTCTCTGCTGGCTCTGGGAAAGGCCGGGGTGCCCGGCCACGAATCAGGAGTCTGGGGGCTGCTGGGAAGGGTGCTCCCGGCGTGTGGGGACCACCATCTGGATTCAGGGCTGGTCTTTCTCCTCCAGTCTCTTAGCCAGCCCCCCCCCCCCACCGCTGCCCCCGCCGGCCAGCAGCACCGGGAGTCCTGTGCCCTTCTCTCCCAGCCTGGAATGCCCTCGCCACTCCCTCCCATCTGTGGGCACCCTGACTGTGCTGCACCTGCAGGCGTGTGGAGGTGTGTGTGAGTGCCAGCACGTGTGCAGGGGTGGCTGTGTGTGAGCCCGTGTGCTTGTATGTGTGTTCCTGGAGTAACTCCATCACCCAGGCCAGTGCTGGGCGTGGGAGGCCAGTCCCGTCTCTAAGGAGGGGCAGCCCCTCCAGTCCGCGCCCAGGGCCGACGTCACTGGTGGCCGGGACATGATGGGGGGCAGGCGGCCCTACAGGTGGGAAGTGGCTGGTTTCCCTGGAGCAGCTGTTTGGCCTCAGCCAGGTCGTTGCCCCACTTCGGGACCCATTTTCTCCCAGCGTCAGGGCAAGCAGGTGTGGGTGTGGTGCGGCCCGGGCAGGGACTCAGTGAGCCCGGGGTCTGCAGCCCGGGTTTACAGTGAGCTGGGGCTCCCTGGCCCGGCCACAGGGTCTGTGAGGAGGCAGGCGTCACAGGTCGGTCCTGGCGCCCGGCACCAGGCTCCCAATGCCCGGCCCTCCTCCAGCACCCGCCCCACCACAACGGAGCGGTGGCTGCAGCTGCTCACGCGTGGCGGTTTTAATTTTCTGATCAGTGCACAGAGGATTAAACGTCCAGCGAAAACAGATATTTCTGGAACTTTCAAGTCATGACTCATTATCTGCAATTAATTTTCTTGCAAAAGAGTCAGGTGAGCCTCTCTCTGGGCAGCCTGATTGTGCCCAGGCCTGCCCCCTTCCTTTGGGGAACGTGAACAAGGGGCCCTGCGGTTCTGAGGGGTCCACCAATGTCCCAAGGTGGCCAAGACGAAGGACCACAGACTGGGGGCTTGATCAACAGAAACGT